CAATTCGAATTGCGAACCGGCTTGCACCACCTGTACCTTCTCCGGCGCCGTTCACGTCGTCGTTGTTACGGGGCACCCTTTGTCTGGGTGCCACGAAACTTCACGGTACAATAGTACATGCAGAGGAAGCTATCTACTTGAAGGACTCATTCAAGTAAGGGTAAAAAGACAACTGTATTTAGTATAGTTACGCTATCAATATAACTTTAGTCTTTATCGAACTGTATTTAACTACGTCGTCATAGTATGACGAGAACCTGCTCACCACTCATTACGCGCGTCTAGCAGCGATTGGTGGCAATCAATGTTTGACATGTCTATTATCAACCAATCTTTGAGAAGCGCATAAATATTATCCTAAAAGGGGATAATTCTCCTTCAATATTATCCATCTCGGATAATATTAATAGGTAATTGTCATGCTAGACAATATTCGTATTGACACCGTTTGGTGTCAAATTCATGTAACGGGCTACCCCGTTACATCACCCCCCATCATTCACCCGTTGATTGAAGTAGAATTAATCGGGACAGGGTGACCACCGTTAAATCACTCCGGGAAAGAGAGCACTTGTTGGTCGAGTTCCATTTATTTGCCAATCCAACGCATGGTTTCGAAAACCACGCGAGTTGCTACTGCAGCAGCAAGAAGAGCGGCTGCACGCATGCGTGCGGCCGCGAAAAGTGCTTCTCACACCTCATCAGCAGGCGATTCGTCGCCTGTTGTCGTAAAAGCTCCACGTGGTGAGTCACCACGTGCGACAGGTAAATCCGCTGCGTCTGCAGCGGGTGCCTCGAGTCGTAATCAGGATGAGTCTGAGATAGAGCTCATCTATTCTGGCGAGTCGGATGATGCATCCGACTCGAAGTCGACTCCTCACGCCTCCGGATCACCCGGGGCGGACACCGCAAGAGCCAGGTTAATTGGCTCTGGTCAACGCGGCAGCATCATGACCGAGATCTTCGGATCGAGTGATTATTCCGATGAATCTCCGCCTCACGCAAGTCCGTCTAACGATAGGATGCGTGAGGATGGTGGTGCCCCTATGCATCACCACGAGCGGAGTAATTCAAGGGATCGGGGTAACACTGGTGCCAGTGCTCATGCTGGCACCAATCAAGAGGCCAGGGACCGAAATGTCCTGCGCCACTCTCCTCAAGTGGAGTCTCCGCTGATGCCGTCATCCAGAGAGTTGGACCGTTTGTTCGGCATGACTACCGAACCAGATCGAATCCCGTTGTTCGATTGCAGGAAGATTTGTCCACCTAATTCCAGCACGGAAACAATCCGTGCTGAGGAAGAGTTCTTCACTGATGCGTTTTAAATATTGGTGGTACAATGGAAGTCGTGTTCGAGACGGTAAAGCCTTGATGCAGGGATGAAATGCCCTCATCCATAACATCGAGTGCATTAGCCGCCAGGCCTAGCCGCCAAACTTGATGCAGCTTGCATCAGGTTTGAGAAATGCAACCCAGTCGGGGTGCGATGCAAGTTGCACCGGATATCAAGAGAGGCAGTATTACCCTTTCTCTCGTGGGGTGCTTCGTGTCCTGGTTGCCTAGACAGCTCAAATCGTGCCCCTAGGGAGGCCTACCTCCCTAATGATCTCTTCTGGAGGGCGCATCTCTTCCAAGATGGCCGAAGGGATAGACACCTTACAATCCCTGCACTTGCGTTCGGAGAGGTCGTTTTCCGACGACCCTCCTTCTAACACAGCGGGTGGGTCTCGTCATATTGCTCGACGAGACCCAGGACATCAACAATCAGCTGGGCACGGGGCTCCCAGCTGTCCCACGCCGGTGGATAGCCACGCCAGCGGACGAGGTAGCTCGTCCGGGCACCATTCACGTCGCGGTGGTTCCAAATACGCTTTACTAGAAAGCGTTGACCACCGCTTGAGTACTCCAATGGATGTGGTGGCGGCGAGAACACCTGATCCGGCCCGAGGGTCGGACCAGCTTGATGTTCAATAGCTGAACCGTGTAACGGAACAGTTGCAAGATGACCTGGCTCATGAACGGACTCGGCGTTATGATCTCCATGATCTTGTAAGGGATGATAACAATTCCTTAGCAAACGATCGTTCGAACGATCGTGTCGCGTTTGCGTTTGCTCAAATTGAGAACGAACGTTCGACTCGTTTACTTCGTGACAAGATGGCTGTAGCTCATTGAGACATCGCTGAACTGCGTAAACGGGTTGCTTCGCTAGTCGACCAGACCGAGTCGTTGAAACGGGACCACTCGAGGGCGGTCTCGCATCTCGACCGCGGAGGTGTTCTTTGCATCTCAAAACGGGCTCTTACTGATAGTACGGGCGGAGACGACCAACGTAAACCGTAGGATGCGTACGCATCTTACGGGGCGGTTGAATTGTGCATGCGTTGCCTGTTTGGCGCAACACACGAAATGGACCAATGTACATGGGCAGTAATTTACTGCTGCCCACGTTTGTCACTGCGTGTTTTGGTAGATTTAGTGTAGACAGTAAAACTAGGTCTCCTTCATCAAATGAAAGAACATTTGCTGTTCCAAGTTTGTCTGCGTTTCTTTTCTGTCTGTCTAGTGCATCTGCAGTAGAGTCTTGAACGAAGCGGACAACCTCTTCGCGAGTCAGCAGAAACTCCTCTGCTGGTTTATCCTTGTTAACAGAAGTGCGCTTCGTGTGCACTGCTGAAAGAACGTTGTCTTCACCAGTCAGGGTGTCATCGTCCTCATTTTGGCAGTCATTGGCGATGCTGAATATACCAGCATTGTCATTATCGTCATCATCGACATCGATACCATCTACATCGCATCCATCACGTCGACACCTTTGTCGACTGGTGATGAGCAAGAAACAGATCGGGTTTTGTTCGAGCGAGTCCACCCCCCCCTTAAACTAGAGTCACAATATAAAAAGGTGGGTAAACGTGGATGGCGTAGGCCATTCACGAAGAACGGTGTATGCATTGTCGACGCGTGCACCGAGTTGTTGATGGCGAAGTACGCCATCGTCAAGAACTCACTCCAGCTCGTGAACGAGTGCACATATCCTCGAAGTATCTCTTCGAGGACGCGATTGACGCGTTCCGTCTGACCATCTGTTTCTGTCTGGTCAGAAGTCGACATCTTTAAACGTGTATCAAGTGAACGGAACACGGATTGCCAGAACTCCGCCGTAAAGCGGGGGTCCCTATCAGACACGAGTTCACGGGGTAACCCGTGAAGTCGGAAGATAGCATTAATGAAGCCACGCGCACAGCCATGGTCTGTGATCGACTCCGGAATAGCAACAAGATGTACCATCTTGCTGAACTGATCAACAAACACAAGAATACCAGCATTCTTGTGAAAGTCTTTGGAAAACCCGAAGACGAAGTCCATTAATACGGATGCCAACACTCTGCCGGAATCGGTAGAGGCTACAAGGGTACGCGGGATGAAAGACTAGGCTTCACCCGTTGACAAACTTCGCAAGCGCGAATGTATTTGCGCACAAACTCATACTTGTGGGGCTAGTAGAAGTCACTACTTACTGTTAGGTAAGTCTTTTCTCTATCGCGATGCCCACTTGTTGGGGCATCGTGACACTCATACATGATGCGCAATCGCAAATCATTATGAGCCGGAACGACGACACGAGGTGTGTCGCCGTTGACTGCTGTATAGCACAGCAGTCCATCACAAGCCAAATATCGTTCGGTTGAAGAGCGGTAATGATACGACAAGCTTTTCAAAGCTTGATTACACGTATTGGATACTTAATCATTAATCGCAGAAGAGACTCATCTTCTGCGTATGCCTTCCGCACGTCATCGAGCAGATTCGACGACGGAACACTCACTGTTAGTGTTGCAACATTGGGATCTCACCTACTGTTTTGTTGAGCAGTCGGCTCAAAATCGGGCCAACGCGAATGAGCATCATCATCTACATTAATTCGTCCTGGTTAATACTCGACGGAGAAGTTGTACTCCGCAAAAAAATACAGCCACCTCGCCATTCGTTGCGAGAGGTGTGGACTGTTCACGGCCGTGCGTAGTAACACATGGTCGGTATAAACGATGAAGGGCCTACCTCCTACGAGATAAACCCGAAACTTAGCCAGTGCATATTTCATGGCAAGGAGTTCCAGGTCATGCACCGGTTAATTTCACTGAGCTGCTTACAGCTGACGCGATTGACAACAGACGACGCGCTCAACGCCGTCTGATTCGTACTGCATCAACGCGCAGCCGCCTGCAAATTAATCGCGCCACAAATCACATGAACTGGTATATCCTAATCTGCAAATGCCAACGCAGGCGATTGCACCAAGCTTTTCTTGATGCCTTCAAACGAGTGCTGACACTCAGCGCTCCATGACCACCTCTCGTTTTTCTAAAGTAGACGAGAGAGATGTAGAGTCATCTCGGCATAGTTGCGCGAATATTTGTGCAAGTACACCGCCAAGCCAAGGAACTTTCGAAGTCCCTTGACGTCAACTGGCACAGGCCAGTCGCTAATCGCCTTGGTCTTTTCCGGATCAGGGAGTACACCGTTTTTACCCACGATGCAGCCAAGAAGTGGCATTCCGTTCACTGCAAATATTCACTTCTTGAGATTGGCGAACAACTTATGCTCTCGCATTAGAGTAAAAACCTTCCGGACGTGGATTCTATGAACCTCCACGTCCGTCTTTCCATCCATAGCCCGGCTATGGAAGAAGACATCGTCGAAGTAACTCGGTGCGAAATCGCGCACCGATCGCAACAGATTCGTAACACATCTGATAAACGTTTCGGGGGTGTTACTTAGCCCCTGTGGCATCACTAGCCACTCCCAGAGCATACCGCTGGGGGTGCTCACTGCTGTGTACGGGATATCCCGTTCACGCATGAGAATCTGATAGAATCCATCCATCAGATCCATGGACGAAAAGATGGTACTTTTTGCCATACCATCTATGATGGCATCCTTTCTTGGGATCGGCGTTTGAGCCGGTACCGTTGCAGCGTTCAAATTGTTGAACGCGTGCACTATCCGCCACCCTCCGGTGGCCTTTCGCACACAGAAGGTCGAAGAGCTGGGGATGTTGTTTCCCTCACATGACCAGCCACCAAACGATCGGCAAAGAATTTGTCTATCGCTGTTACTCGTTCACGGGGCAGTGGCCACTGCTTCATGACACAGTATTTCATACCGGGTTTCAGTTCAATCTCATGCCGAGTGCCTTTGTCCTTGGGCAGCTCGCATGGCACGGATACCTGGAAAACATCCCAGAATTCAACCAAATCCTTATACAAAGGATTTGCCTTGAAAGACTCCCAAGATTGAGACGTGTATCGCTCAATCCGAGTCTTCTCATCGAGGACACTCTCGTCCATAGATGAGCTACTGAGAACCCGTTCGTTCTCAGCAAACACTTGTGCCGACAGAATATCGGCGACATACTCGTCCTCTGTGACAAGTACGCATATCTGCTTGATCTTGTCAATACGCAGATCGCACAAGAATCTATTAGATTCTAGCGTTGGCAACTTGACTACCTCCGAAGCTGACTTTGGGAGCGTAACCAGATCAAGTGTATAAGCGCCTACATTTAATTCGTCATTCACCAAGACATTCACTGTCTCAATGATTTCCTGGGAAAACACATCCGCAGATGGTTGGGGATTCGCATCCTCAAAATAACTATCTCGGAAGTTAAAACTCTCAGGAACGCTGGAACTTTCTTCCATTACGTGTACTGACTGTGGGTGCACTACCACAGTAACGTCCTCTTAGATCGACTCTCTTTCAGTCGATCCTATTTGTTTTGCGATGGACTCTCTGACAGTCGATCTCGCTTCTACGTGTTGTCTATCCTGAATAACACTAATCTCTCTTCTCGGATGCATCCTTCTTGGTGTGCATACGTGTTCCAGTATACTAGATATCTTCGAGTGGCGAACCTTCGGCGCAGCCTGTGTCTCTACACAGGTACCGGAAGCTGATTCTACAGTGTAGTGGCATTCTACACTGTTATCTTTTCCAATCGTGCTAGCAACTGTACCACAAGTGAGGCCATCGCACTCACTCGTAGTACATCCACACGCTTTTGGACGCTCCAAGACGTTCATCAGATGGCCATCCGATGATCAAACGGCAGGCATCTTCATGGATCGATGCTGCCAGCTAACCCATGGCCGGAACTTTCTAAGCCATGGCAGACAGAGGATGACATCAAATTTGTCATCCAAATTTAGTGCGAAAAAGTCATCATCGTACTGCTTTCCTTCCAGCGTGTAGTGGATTCCCACTATACGTTTGTTCACTGTTGTGGATGCGCCTGTATCAAGGCCCGCCGTCATCCTTGTTGGAGGGAACTCTCGCTCAACAAAGTTGAGCCTACTACCCCTTAGCGAATGGCGTCGAATGAAACTGTTCGACGCCCCACAGTCAACTAGGGCGCGAAGTGACATTCCACTTGTCACTTCGATCGTCAAAGTGATGAGGGACACCTCATCACTAGGGGTATTAACACACAACGACTGTGTGTTGGGAGCAATCTTCGTCAAGAGTCCCAGAAATTCTTTTAACGTTGCTGGATCATCAGGGTGCTCCGCCTCTACTGATCCTGACCGTTTTTTGGCGGTCCGACTTGCTATCGCAGCTTAGCGACATGGTCGGATCCGCGCCTTGGACCATTTTTCGGCCAACGGTGGTCATCACGTCCTGTCTTTGGACGTGTTGCGGTGCTTGGGACACTACAATCATGGGCTTATTGCCCAATCTTCTGACAGTGGTGGCATCTCGCCGTTCGTTTGTGACTCAGAGAGCGAGAGTTCTTGCTCTCTATGTAACAGAGATCCATTGGTTCGGGACCTCCTGTTTTCTGTCGTCTCGTCGGACGATAGTTTGACGAGTTAGCCTGAGACTGTCTCAGGCAAAAGCCTTCTTGTTCCGCATACGCTATCACCTTTTCCAGCTTATGGAAGTTATCTCGGAACATGTAGGTCTTCACCGGCCCATCCACAAGTCCTTAGATGAACACGTTGATGAGCGTGTGCTCATCAACAGGGTTTTTCGTGACGCTACTTGCAAGGTAGCGCAGGTGCTGTGCGTAAGCGTGCACGTCACGCTTACCTTGCTTTAGCCTCAAGAGTGCAGAGCGTGCTCTGAACTCGACTCTTGGAGGCTCAGACGTCTCTTTAAGTCGAGACTTCAAGATCTCCAACGACTCAAACACGTTTGGGTCGTGAAGCTTGAGCCCTAAGGCTTAAGTCTTTGCTCGTCCCGTCAAATTTGACAGGGCGAAGGTGACTTGCATCTCGTCACCCTCGATGTGACGGGCCCTGAAGGCGTCGTCTAACTCGACGAACCATCTCAAAAAGCAATCTTCATCGGTTCCCTTGTACCTTGAGATATCAATCTTCAAGGTTTCGGGTCGACGCATGTGCGTCGGCCCGCCCACCGACTGATGAGAGGCTTGCTGCTGTAGCAAGGCTATCTTCTGTCGTTCGACGGCAAGCTCCTCTTGTAGGAACTTGTTGATAGCAGCATGTTGCTGGTCTCTGCTTAAGGACTCCAACATACCACTGATGGCGGGTTCGCCCATGAGCACACTCATGCGACCGACTACCTCCCATTCTGAGTCACTCAGATGGGAGTAGCCTTCACGTGTGACGTGAAAGCTGTAGTCTTTAACGTCCAACATGTTCACGTTGGACGGAAACTAAGTAGTCGTTGGACGGACTACGAAGCGCTACCAGGTGTAACGGGGCACCCTTTGTTTGTGGTGCCGCGAAACTTCACGTACACTAGTACGTGCAGAGGAAGCTAATCTACCTTAAAAGACTCGTTTAAGTAAGGGTACAAATTGAACTGTATCAATATAGTTAAGCTATCAACATAACTTAAATCTTTTCTAACTGTAATAAACTACGTCGTCGTCTGACGGCAACCTGCTCACCACTCATTGCGCGCGTCTAGCAGCGGTTGGTGGTAATCAGTGGCTGACATGTCTTTTATCAACCAATCTTGGAGCAGCGCATGAATATTATCCTAAAAGGGGATGATTCTCCTTCAATATTATCCATCTCGGATAATATTGGTAAAAGATTGTCATGCTAGACAATAATTCTATTGACACCTTTTGAAGTCAATTTCATGTAACGTGCTACCCCGTTGCAGTCGTTGACTCGCTAGCATGTCGAAGAAGCATGCCGTGCCCTTTCAGCCTGCCCATTGCCTGTAATTCGGAGTGATGGTCGCCGAGGAGGCCAACAAACAAGTCACGTCAGTGCGCTGCAGCTTCTGCGCCTTCTTTGGCCGAACTAAAGTTAAGGCCGGTCACGAGCACACAGGTGAAAAGCGTCAGCGTAGCTCTCCCAACGACACCAAGTAATTTACGTCGTTCGCGCCGCAGAACTACCGCAGTCACTATGAGTCGCAGCACGCGGATCTATGGGCCGAGGACAGCGCACTGTCCAAAGAGGAAAAGAGCGTGTAATTTAATGGAAACGAGAATTGAACCAACAGTCTGCACCGGCACTTTAAATTCGCGTCAAACTTGCTCACGTTCCGCGTATCGGTTCCTATCCTCTCCGCCATCATCTCCGACCTGTTCTTCCGGCTCGACGAGGTTCTCGCTGACTTTGACGACGACGGGGACGAGGAAGATGGCGGCGCGGCCGCTACGATTGCCAAGTATGTTGCCGCCAAGGCCAAGCAGAAGATGCTGGCGCTGAAGTTGTTCGTTAAGGACAAGGCGAACGTGGACGACTATCTCGTCACTATCAAGGTCACGATGCTATACGAGCTGATCATGGATCATGTCTTGGTGGGAATGTCGTTTCGACAGGTGGCGTCCGCGATGCAGCACACCAAGGAGCGCTGTGGCCTGTCCAAGCTGGGCGGCTGAACGGAACCATCGTCGACCAGTACGTCTGCGCTAGCATCGCGTTCACCTGCAGCGCATTGCCGACCTGTGCTTCGATGAGTCGATCTGGGGCTGCCACTTGCTGGCGACGGCAGTACCCACAGTGGCAAGCACTCTTCGGACTCCGCCTGCGCGTGAGCTACCGCGGAGTCTTACTAAACCTTCACCTCGTGGCCTTCCCTCAATTTAAACGCCACACCTCGCTCAACTCTTTCAACATGCTGGTGAAATTCCTGGATGCGCTGTACGGCCTCTGACACTACAAGCTGATCAACGTTGGCACTGAAAGCGAGTTGTCTATGTTCGGGCGAATTAACAACCTAGAGACGCGCATGGCCCGATGCGGGTTCCACATCTTGCGCATCTGGTGACCACCGCACCAGATGAACGTCGTCGTCAAGGACGGCGCCAAAATGATTTATGATGGGCAATGGTCCAAGAAGGCGTGGTCACTGCTGGTCTGTATGCTCTCGCAGAAGAATCTGATCACGCGCAGAAACGTGAAATTTTTCAAGAAGACCAAACAATGGGTTATCGTCGGCGTACTGCTCAACTTTCTTAAGCAGTACTGCCGCATTATCATTGAGCACGTGACGGCAAATGACAGCGCCAAGCTGCCGCTGCTCGATAGTGTGTCATCGCTTAAGAAATAACGCCTGCCCTCGAGAAGATCATCAAGACGTTCGTCATTTCGCAGAGCCGATCTCTGCTGATCGCGCAGCAAGAATCGCTCATTCAGACGCTCGTCGCCACTATGTTTGCGATGATCGCCGTGTCCACGACGACGATGAAGACGTCGACAACAACGACGACGAGTTCGAAATGTTCGAGCAGTGGCGTGTCGAGCGAGCCGAACTTTTACACTACGTCAAGGATCAGGGCTCGTTCCCAAGCCATGCTACGAAAGCCTGGCAGCTCCCGCCCAGAAGGATGTCATTAGCCAGCTCGCCACGTAAGCCATATCTTTGTCACTGGGCTCGGCAATATCCGTGCTGAGCGCGACGAAAATAATGCGCTGCTCCAGCAATACGCCCGGCTTTTTCTGCCTGCTCCGATCGTCAAGCTGCTACACAGCGACTTTATTGAGCGCGTGCTCGACCCGTACCACGTTTACCTGCCCCAGTAATGTTTTGAGAAATGCATCGACCAGGTCGAGGAGGGTCATCGGTATTTGCACAAATTGTACAAGAGGACACAGCTCTGCGCGCCACTCTAGACAAGCACGACGCGTACACTACGCCCACCGACGCATTGGACGCAGTTCCCCAGCGATCGCGTGTCGAGCGCCTTCGCGCCTTCCCCGGCGTACTGGCCACCGCCTTCGCTAACACGATGTATGTCGAGTCAGACTTCTCCATCCTCAAGTGGGAATTGATGAGTTCCGTACCTGCTTGATGCATCTTTTATTGGAAGGTGTCTTTCAGACTAAACGGCGCGCCATTTCAAGGAACCGGACCGTGCGTGAGCGAAATCCATAAATTAAGGTTCAGTGGTGTCCCGAGCTAGCTTAGTTTAATTAATTTACGGAAATTCTTAAACGCATGAGGCCTGGCCTACACCCTTTGGGCTTGCAATAATGCCTATTACCATTGAAGAGGATACAAATGCTATATCGCACTTAGGAAAAGTTTTATGTACACCTAGTTTTTATTTACAGACTCGCAAATGCGAGGACAGGCTCCATCGCACTTCGTACGAAGTGTAAGTTACACCTGGCGTTATTCGCATGCACACGTAGTGACAGGTTAAAGTCGACTTAGCACGATGCTTAAGATACATGGTGTTATTTATACACAAACGGACAGACTGTAACGGGACACCGGAGCAACACACTAAGAAACCAGTGTGAGCTTCTCTCACCGACAGCGTGTGTGAGTGGTGCCACGCTACCTTTGTAAACTATGCAGAGGAAAGGAAAACAACTAGGGACTGACTAGTTGCTGGTAAAGTAAAACCGTGTCTAAAGAAATTAAGTCATGATCATCAACCTGTGCTTTTGATGTAGATTTTTTACAAATATCTACAGAATGTATGCTAAAGTCTATCTCACCACTCATTGCATGCGTCCATCGTTGATTAAACCGCTAGAGCTGGCTGTTATGATACCCACTTCCGTAATTGGCGAGTGTTTCTAACTATTACCCCTGAGGGTATCATTCACAAACATAATCAGCTTTATGATGTTATTCTAATTAACAAGTATCAAGGGTTAATTACATGTAACAGGCATACCTTGTTACACCCCCCTCAATGAATAGCCACTTAATAACTATCATGTTGATGTGGTCACCGTTAGACCACATCGGGGACAGGGAGCACTTGTCTTGGTCCGATCCATTCATTTTTGAATTTTCATCATATTCTGAACAACTACGGGCGATACGCAGAGAAAGGTGATAGGAAGCAAGCCGCGCATGTTAACGCAGCTGTTCTTGACGATTCTCATCCTCTTGAGCAGGCGATGCTCCGTCTGCTGCCGCTGCAACCCTTCCTGCAGCACCAGTTGCTGCAGATGCTTGTGGTGAATCACCCCGTGTCAATGATGATGGCTCTCAAGTCGAGCTCATCTATTCGGAGAATTCGAACGGTGGTTCCGACTCGAAGAAGACACCTAGTTCATCGAGTGTATAGGGAAAGTCTAATAGGAGCCAACGAACAGGAGTAAAGTGGGTAGTCCGACTCATTTTCACTACCAGAGCATGTTTTATTTGGAGAATTAGAATGCTAAACCCTCACCCGCGCCAGCTACTGCGCGTTCTACATATAGCGAATTCGGTAATGATTTGATCTGTATGTATCGTTAGGCAGGCATTCCATGCTTCACTTGGGGTGACGCATGTCCGTGTTATCTCGACAACACTTAATAAATCCAAAGGGTTGTACAGTCACTTTCGTCGTCCTAGGGGTAGGGTGCCCATATCTTCTGAGATGCGCGATGCGAATGCTAGACTATAATTGCTCTACCAGCACCATGGGCGCGCGTTTTCTTAAAGCCCGTATGAGCCATCGGATGTGTCTTGTCGTATGGTGTTCGAGACTCTTAACGTCAAACATCATCTAGGCGCGAGGCTCCCAGCTGTTGTGCGGCCGCGTATAGCTGCACCAGCGAACAAGATAAGTAGTTTGCTGCCCTTCACGTTGCAGTGGATCGAAATACGCTCCACGTGAAGCGTTGACAACCGTGCGAATCCACCAATGGATGTGGTGGGCGAGGGAAGATCAACTCCGAGTGGATAGTTAAGGTTGCAGGAGGAGTGTGGTCGTATCCAACAATGATTACAAGATATTTGTGATCGCACCGAACAATAGAGACGGTGTCGTTTCTCTTTGGAGCCATGGGTGCAATGCATCTACTTTTATCGACGAGACGAACGGTCGGAGCATGCGTTCTATCGATTGGAGAATGAGAGGAATCCTCAAGCCTTCCGCGAAGAAGCGAGTGACCTTCGTCACCAGAATGCGGCAGTACAGAGCCAGATTGAGAAACTAGCTTGGGACCAAAAGAATCTCTTGGAGATTCTTCAGCGTGGTAGTCATATTCGCCAGCGGAAGAGACCTCGTGATGATAGTACTGGCGGATACGACCGACATAAAATGCAGGATGCATGCACATCCTTCGAGGCAACTCGATCGTGTACGCATTGTCTTTGCGGCGTAGTACATGTTACGGCTCGATGTACTTAGGTCATGGTTTACTACTACCCACATTAGTTACTACGTGATTAAATAGATTTACCATGGCATGGATTGCTTGTCCATGTTTGTCATCGTTCGTTTATGCCGGTCTACCGCGTTAGCGATGAGGCCTTACACGAAACGGACTACATCTTCTCGTACCAGCAGACAATTTTCTGCTGACTCACTTTGCTTGTTGCAGTGCGCCTTGTGCACACCGCTAAAAGTACAGCATCTTCTTTAACGAAGATGTTCTCATCCTCGCTGGCGTAGTCGTTTGTGATGCTAAATATACCAGCATCTTCATCCTCATTTGGGTCAGCAATAGTATCAAAACTGTTGCTGAGTCCATCTTCTTCGATGTCGATTAAATCGTCATCGGCAACATTCGCATTGTTGATTGCCTCGACACGTAATGAGAAAAAGACAAAACGTTTTTTGCTCAAACGAATCCTACTCCCTTAATACGTAGCCACATATTAAATGGGTGGGTAGGCGTGGATTTGGCAACTCTTTAACGAAAAATGGTGTATGCGTTGTCGACGCATGCACAGAGTTGCTAATGGCTAATTCCACTCTCCGACGTTTTTTCGCTCCAATCAGTGAAGTATTGGACGTATCCAATAAGTATTTCCTAGAGACGCAGTTGACGCGTTTGGCCTGACCATACATTATAGGGATGGTCAGAAGTATACATAGCCAGACGTGTTTCGAGGGATCGGAACACAAATTTCCAAAATGTTGCCGTGTACAGAGAATCTCTATCGATAACTAATTCACGGGACAGAACGTGGATTCGGATTAAGAATTCAATGATGCCACGGGCACAACTACGTGATGATATGCACTCATTAACTGCAAAAGGATGTACGATCTTGCTGAAATGGTCTAAGAACATTAGAATACCAATTATTTGCCAGCGTCTTCGTAGAAAACGGAGACGAAGTCCATCGAGATGGACTGCCATCCCTCTGTCTAGATTGGTAGAGGCTGTAGTGGCGCACGGGAAGAAGTTCTAGGTTCTCCCATCGGCACCATTCATAAGCACGAATGTACTTGCACACGAACAAAATTTGGCGCGGACAGGAAAAGTTGAGTCTTACCTCAAATAAGTCTTCTTAAGCCCCGATGGCCACGTGTGGCGCAATATGACACTCATATTAGATGAAAAGGCGCATTTTTTATCATATGGGACGACGACACGAGGTGCGTCGCCGGAAACAACTGCATAGTAGAGCAACCCGTTTCGTGTTTTGTATCGATCTGCGGAGGATCTATACAAGGCCGGTGAATTTTCGAGAAACTTACGAGATGGAGTCACTGGATGATCCATTAGTCGCAGAAGAGCCTTATCTTCTACATAGGCCTTTCTCATGTCGTCAAGCAATGTTGACGACGGAATACTAGTGTTAAGTGTTACAACAGTGGTACCAAACTCACTGTTGGACTGCGCAGCCGACTTAACATCGGGTTGGCGCAACAGCGCGTCCGCGACGACATGAAGTCGTCTGGGTCTGTACTCTTAAGCAAAGACAGCCGCCTCGCCATCCTTTTCGAGAGTCATAGGCTGTTTACGACCGTGCGTAATGACGCGTAGTCTGTATAGACTACAAAAGACCTATTTCTAAGAGAATAGACGGGAAATTTTGCCAGTGCATACTTCATGGAAACGAGTTTCTTGTCGTGCAATGGATAGTCATGCTCAGCTGCTTGCAGCTGACGCGACTGATAACAGACGACGCGCCCTGTGATGTTTATATCGTAACGCATTAATACGCAGCAGATTGCAAAATCGCGGGCGTCACAGAATATATAAAATGATCAATCTTAGTCTGCAATTGTCGATATGTGCGATAGCATCGAGATCCGCTTGATATCTTCATAGAAACGCTGACATTTAGCGTCCTATGGCCACTCATCATTCATTTTTTAAACACGAGAGATGCGGACGGCCATCTCGACGTAGTTGCTCGAGTTC